GCCCCTCCCCACGTCTCCTCGTTATCTTCTTATCTTCTTTATGAATACAATACTGAACTAATCGTTGTTGCCTTCCCTTCGAGATGAGAAATGAGACCCGTCTTGTAAAATGCAGACTGTTTGCATTACTAAGGAAATTTCTTTGTTTTTGATTTTTCTCTCTCCGAGTCAGATATTCATGATCATGAATATTCAAATACCAGAGGGATTGGGATCTATACTGTGCGATTTCACTGTAGCAGCTTTGGAGGCAGCGCCTTCAAATTTGCTGGAGTTTGCCGCGGACTATTTTCGTCGCGCGTCAGAAGCGGCGAAAACAACCAAAAACGACGGGAAAGCCAAGGTAAGTGTGTTCACAGCGATTCACAGCCTTATGTTGAGTTCCCCCCATTTTAATCATGAAAGAAAACGGGTAATCGGTGTTTATTTGTTTGATAGCATGTTTGTTTTCTAATTGTAGGATGGGATGGTTTGGTTGGAGTGGGGTTAGGGGTTGGGGGGAGGGTGCTTCGATGAATACGATGAAACTTCTTAGTACATGGGCAGACAGTTTTGTCTTTTTATGACGATCATCTCCCCCCCCCCCCAGCTTTTCTCGCCACAACTCGATTTTCATTCAGAACAAAATATTCTTCTTAGTCTCTTTGCTGCGAGCTATCTTCATTTCAAAGACGGAGACCTATAGCATTTTTAAGCACAGAGTAGGAAGTACATGTACTTTAAAAAATGCTTTCTCTTTCTAATTCATGTGTTTATATTGTGTAATAAAAATGCTTTCTCTTTGTTATTCAAGTGTTTACTTTGTATAACAATACTAAACCTTTTCTACACAATATACGGTTTTATAATAAGGAGTACGCTGGGAAACAGGGAGGGCGGGGTGGTGGTGGTGGTGGTGGTGATTTAGTGTTTAGATTTAGAAAGATGATACAGCGATGGGAAAGGGAAAGAAGTTGGGCAAAACTTACTTCTTTTTTTTTCATCACCCTTCTTCTAAGCAAATGACGACCGTGGTTAGTAAAATAAATAGTGAACTTGATTTATTTGCTAATCGCTTCCTTCTCTTGTAAGCTCTGTGTGTATGCTCTCTCTCTCTCTCTCTCTCTCTCTCTCTCTCTCTCTCTCTCTCTCTCTC